GAGGTCACTTTGGGCTATCGAGAGATTTATGATTTGTGGCCTTGTTGAAAGCTGTACTTTGTTCATGACAACTTTGATGTTGTTATTTGTTGCAAATCAACTCACACATGTACATCTCCAGAGAACCTAATGGGCACTCTTTTGGCTCAGTGCCAGGGACGTGGTCATTGTTTTTCACTGTCTTCCCCCATGATATACATTACTCCCTGGGCCACAAGTCAGCGCCACCCATTTGTTTTCTCCGAGAACCAGGGAAAATCTGAGATGAGTCAAGATAGGACTCAAAGAGAGCTGCATTGTCAGCATGCATGAGAAACTAACTTTTCAAAGGAACAGTTCTTCTGGGAGGGAGTTCCATTGCAGTCAGTCAGCTAGAAGTCTGTTCTGGGCTGAGGACCCAAATTCACAGATACCTGAGGGTAATTTTCAGATTTGGCAATCTTCTGTCACCTGTGGTCATGCTGGCCTTTTCCTCCTCTCATGTTACATGTGTATTGTGTCCAATATCTTTCTACTTTGCTTTCCTAATTACCCCCTTTTTGTCACCATTACTGTCAACCCTCATGGAAGTATTTCCTATTGAGTTGCTTTGTAACCATTGCCAGAGTGGTGAAATAGTGAAATGTGATAAATCTTCCTTTCTTCACAGCCACCTTTTTTACCCCTAACCCTTTCTTTCTTGTTTCATGTTGTGAATCTTTACTTGAATTTTTGGTCAGTGTCTTTTACTGATGGAGAGAAGGTGTGCAGTGATGATGGAATGTTGCGATTGATGAAGAATAACACCTGGTCCTCCATGTTAGGAGAGGTCTCCGATTTGATTGGCAAAATATTTCGGCATAAAAACGATGGTAGATGTTTGAGGTGAGTGTCAGTCAAATTAGAGAAATCGGTGATTGACAGAGTAAACCATAAGGTGTCATGACATGCAAATACAACATTTGTATTTGTATACATGTAAGTGGACTTTGAAGACCTTTGTAGCAATTCAGTAATTACTGAACCCAAACCTAAACCTAAACCTGAACCGAATTAATGAGCTAACCTAAACAAGGGCAGCGTATGTGTTACCTAGGAACTACGTCTGTTTCCTGTGGGATTTTGACTGCAGTAGGAAACTGTCCCATTACTCATATGTCATTTCATCCTACTGTGATGGTTTGCTTGTTGCTGTGAGGTTGGAGGCAATGGCACTGGTATTTCAGATACCAGCATGGTCACCCATGGTGAATAGGTTTCACTGGAGTGTCTAAGACAGACTGGGAAGAAGGGACCATCCTTTTCTTCCTTCTCAAAGAATTGGCCATTAAAAACCTTATGAATAGCATTGACACATTGTCTGATATATTACTGGATAACTTTATCAATAGGCCTGAGCCATTGTCTGATATAGGCCTGAAGATGAAAGGTCAAAAAACCTTCCGAATAAGACTGGAGAAGAGCCACTTCCTCAAAGTAGAGTCGACCTTAATGACATGGATGGACTAAAGCTCTCATTACCTTCATTTGCTTATGCAACATGACTCAAAATGGGAAGAAACATTTGGAAACATCCAGCAATCATCAGAACAGGAGATGTACAAAGTATCAATGTAGGAAAACTCAATACACAAGGAATGTGCAGAGTCACTCTAAAAAAAGATTTGTTGAGACATAATCTATGGAGTTAGCATATGATCAAGAAGCACTAGTATTCATAGATGAATTCAAAGTTGAAGTCAAGTATTTGTTGATAAACAAGGCTACAGGAATTGTTGGATTGCCCATTGGAATCTTTGAACAGGCATATAGTGTTCTGGAGGTTTATTCATATATCGCAAGTAATTTGGAAGAAAGCTACCAGGCCAACAGAATCGATGAGATCCATTTTTGTATCCATTCCAGAGAAAGGTGATCCAAGAGAATGTGGAAATTATCAACCAGTATCATTAGTATCACACACAAGTAAAATTTGCCTGTACATCATTAAAAGGCAGTTATAACAGTATATTATTATTATTATTTGCTAAGCTAAAGTGTATGTGTGGATGTTAAAAAACTATGGGTAACATTGAAAGGAGTGGGAATTCCAGAACACTTAGTTGTGCTCTTGAGGAACCTCTCCACAGACCAGGGGGCTGTATATCGATCATCACAATGGGATACTGCATGTTTTCCAATCAGGAAGGGTTGTTCATCAGGCTGATATCCCTTGAACATACTCATTCAATCTGTATTTTGACCACATCATCCAGAAAGCTGGACCATGTGAAGTAAAATGTAGCATCAAGATTGTAAGAAGACTCATTAGACCCAACCTTGCTGAACGTGAAGATGACTTGAAGTACTTTCTGATGAAGATGGAGGACTACCGTCTGCAGTATGGATTACACCTCAACATAAAGAAAACAAAACTCCTCCGAACTGGAACAATAAGTAGCATTATGATAAGTGGCAATAGCATTGAAGTTGTCAAACATTTCAAATTGATTCCATAGTCACCCCATGGAGCAGCAATAAAGAAATCTCATGTTGTACTGCACTGGGTAAATATGCTGTAAAAGAGGTCTTTACGTGTGGAAGCACAAAGATGTCACCTTGGAGACTAAGGTACACCTTACCCAAGCTATGGTGTTTATGATTGCCTTTCATACGTATGAAAGCTGGACAATGAATAAGGAAGACCCTAGTAGAAGTGTTGATGCTTTTGAATTATAGCATTGGTGGACAATGCTGAAAGTACCATAAACTCCCAGAAAAATGAACCAGTATGTCTTGCAAGAAGTGCATATACCATGCTCATTGAAATTGAGAGTGCCCCGATGTCATCTCACCTATTTAGGTCATGTTTCCAGAAGGGACCATTTCCTGGTGAAATACATCATGGTTGGTACACTGGAGGGTCAGCAAAAGAGGGGAACACCATCAAGAAGATGGACTGACCCATTGGCGGCAACGATGGGCTCAAGAATAGCAAGGATTGTGAGGATGGAGCCTGAGCAGACACCTTTGCTTGTTCTCCTGGCAGTCTGCAGTACTTTGAGTGTACTTCATGAATGCCGCCACTGAAAAGCATCAACTCTTCCTTGGTCTTCCTTAGTCCCTGTCTAGCTTTCACATGCATATGATGCACTTCAAAATCTTTTGGCTTGGGTTAGGCGTACCTTAGTCATCGAGAGTCGTCTTTGCTCTTCAGCACTTTAAAGCAGTCTTGTATAGCAATTTTCCCAGGGCAGTACATGATCTGATTTCTTGACTGCTGCTTCCATGGGTGTTAATTCTGGGTCCAAGTAATATGAATCTTTGACAGTGTCAGTGTTTTATCTGTGTATCATGATGCTGCTTATTGGTCCAGTTGTCAGGATTTTCTTCATGTTGAGGTGTAATCCATACTGCAGACTGAAGTCTTAAATCTTCATCAGTAAGTGCTTCAAGTCATCCTCACTTTCAGCAAGCAAAGTTGTGTCATCTGCATATGGTAGGTTGTTAATGAGTCTTCCTCCAATCCGGAAGCCACGTTTCTCTTCATATAGTCCACATTCTCAGATTTTTTGCTTTCCATACAAATTGAATAAATATGAAAGGATATAACCCTGACACACTGTCTTCCTGATTTTAAACCATACAGTGTCCCCTTGTTCTGTTCGAAAGACAGCCTCTTGGTCCATATACAGGTTCCTCATGTGTACAATCAAGTGTTCTGGAATTGCCATTCTTCTTAATGTTATCCATAATTTGTTTTGATCCGCACAGTTGAATACCTTTGCATAGTCAATAAAACACAAGGAAACATGTTTCTTGTATTCTTTGCCCTAAGCCAAGATCCATCTGATAGGCTTAACGATCCTCATTCCATGTCCTCTTCTGAATGCAGCTTCTCTTTGTGGAAGGTCCCTGTCAATATACTGCTGCAACCATTTCTGAATTATCTTCAGTAATATTTTACTTGCATGTTATATTAATGATTCTGTTAGAGAATGACCACATTGTGACGAATCACCATTCTTGAAATGGGTACAAATGGATCTCTTCCATTCAGGGGGTAAGATACCTATCTTTGAAATCTCAGGGCATAGATGAGTGGATGCCTCCACCCAGGCATCCATTCGTAGAAACATCTCAATGGGTATTCCATCAATACATGAATCCTTGATTTTCACCAGTTCTGTCAGTACTGCATTTTTCCTTTGATATAGACGCTTATCTATACATACATACAAACATACACAAATGCCTATTTATACATATATTTGTTTTATGTATAAATATAACTGAAAAGTGTTTAGAAGATGTTCACAATACACCATTTTCATACATGTAAGATATCGAATATTTTACCCATTCTTCCCTTTGACCCAATACCAGAAAGCCTAGTATTCTAGAAAAATAGAGAGTAGAATAGTAATTTTCCTGCTAGATGAATTGACCAAAGAAACATAAGATAAAATAGGGCAAAAACCATACACATTAACCATTTTTGCTGATGATGAAATGAGAACAAATTTGTTTCCAGCTTCACATTTCCTATCTTTAACAGGAGTCATAAAGTGAAGATCCTCTACGTAAATCATGAAGACAGTCAGTGTGGGAAAATCTTCAGCCGTGTTCCAGATACTCCACTGGTAAAGAGGGACCCTGTGGAGGTCAATCCTTTTCAATCCTGTGTGTGGAGAACGGCCGTCACGGAGGGGTCATCACCTGAGTGTCACACCAGATTCCCCTCCACGGGTGATAGCTATCACTGTGTGGACCATGGAGCAGCCTGCGGTTGTCCCTCCCACCGATCCCCTTCTGTGAAAAGTCTTAAGGGAAGGAAGACCCAGAAACTTAATATATGTAAGAAGGACTTATGCATGTCAACCCCTAAGCTTCCTGTGATAGTATCCACTGGTGAAGAACACTATGAACGTGTGAAATGTGGGAAATGTTTCTGTAGTTTCTCATCCTTTTGTACACATGTCAGAGCTCATAAAAATGAGTGTGAAGCATGTTGTAAAATCAGTAATTATCCATCATCCCTGATGTTTCATCCAAAATTTCAGAAGACAGATAAGGATTATGAATGTAAGGTATGTGGGAAAGCATTGAGGAAGCTTTCAGACCTCTCTAGACATGAAAGAATTCACAGTGGAGAGAGGCCCAATGAATGTAAAGAATGTGGGACAGCATTTCGTTACCCCTCCAAGCTCGCTGACCATAAAAGAACTCACAGTGAAGAGAAGCCCTATGAATGTAAGGAATGTGGGAAAGGATTTCATCATCCCTCCAACTTCTCCATACATAAAAGAATTCACAGTCTAGACAGGCCCTATGAATGTAAGGAATGTGGAAAAGCATTTAGTCAGCCTTCAAACCTCTCTAAACATAAAGGAATTCACTGTGGAGAGAGGCCCTATGAATGTAAGGAATGTGGGAAAGCATTTAGTTGGCCCTCACAGCTCCCTATACATTTAAGAAGTCACCACAAACATAGGCCCTATGAATGTGAGGAATGTGGTAAAGCATTTACTCAGACCTCCAACCTCAAGACACATAAAAGAATTCACAGTGGAGAGAGGCCATATGAGTGTAAAGAATGTGGGAAAGCATTTAATCACACCTCACACCTCTCTAAACATAAAAGAATTCACAGTGGAGAGAGGCCCTATGAATGTAAGGAATGTGGGAAAGCATTTATTCAGACCTCACACCTCTCTAAACATAAAAGAATTCACAGTGGAGAGAGGCCTTATAAATGTAAGGAATGTGGGAAAGCATTTAGTCACACCTCACACCTCTCTAAACATAAAAGAATTCACAGTGGAGAGAGGCCCTATGAATGTAAGGAATGTGGGAAAGCATTTAGTCAGACCTCACACCTCTCTAAACATAAAAGAATTCACAATGGAGAGAGGCCCTATGATTGTAAGGAATGTGGGAAGGCATTTCATCGACCTTCCAACCTCACTTCACATATAAGAGTTCACAGAGGAGAGATGCCATATGAGTGTGAAGAATGTGGGAAAGCATTTAGTCGCACCTCACACCTCTCTAATCATAAAAGAATTCACAGTGGAGAGAAGCCCTATGAATGTAAGGAATGTGGGAAGGTATTTCGTCATGTCTCAAACCTCTCTGAACATAAAATAATTCACAGTGGAGAGAGGCCCTATGATTGTAAGGAATGTGGGAAGGCATTTCGTCGACGTTCCGACCTCACTTCACATATAAGAATTCACAGTGGAGAGAGGCCATATGCATGTAAAGAATGTGGGAAAGCATTTAGTCACACCTCACACCTCTCTAAACATAAAAGAATTCACAGTGGAGAGAGGCCCTATGATTGTAAGGAATGTGGGAAGGCATTTCGTCGACCTTCCAACCTAACTTCACATCTAAGAATTCACAGTGGAGAGAGGCCATATGAGTGTAAAGAATGTGGGAAAGCATTTATTCACACCTCACACCTCTCTAAACATAAAAGAATTCACAGTGGAGAGAGGCCCTATGAATGTAAGGAATGTGGGAAAGCATTTAGTCAGACCACACACCTCTCTAAACATAAAATAATTCACAGTGGAGAGAGGCCCTATGAATGTAAGGAATGTGGGAAGGCATTTCGTCAGGTCTCAAACCTCTCTGATCATAAAAGAATTCACAGTGGAGAGAGGCCCTATGAATGTAAGGAATGTGGGAAAGCATTTAATTGGCGCTCACAGCTCCGTATACATTTAAGAAGTCACCACAAACATGGGCCCTATGAATGTGAGGAATGTGGTAAAGCATTTACTCAGACCTCAAGCCTCAAGACACATAAAAGAATTCACAGTGGAGAGGCCCTATGATTGTAAGGAATGTGGGAAGGCATTTTGTCGACCTTTCTACCTCACTTCACATATAGGAATTCACAGTGCAGAGAGGCCATATGAATTTAAGTAATGTGGGAATGGCTTTAGAAATTCCTGAGACTTCATTTTTTACTGAGGAAGTCAGGGTAGAGAGGGCTTACAGATGTCAGCAATGAGGAAAAGCCTTTAAGCATTCATCACACGTAAGTCAACATACAAAAATTCACAGTGGGGAAAGGTCTTATAAATGTAAGGAATGTGGGAAAACCTTTAGTTTTTCCTAATTCTTCCTATTGTCTCTCAGAAAACACAAAAAGTCACAGTTGAGAGAAGCCTTATGAATGCAAGGTATGTGGGAAAGCATTTTGTCAGAAGTCAAACCCCACTTTACATATGCAAGTTCACAGTGGAGAGAGTTCTCCCTGTAAGTTATATGGGAAAGCCTTTTATCATTACTTAACCCTCATCGTACATGTGAAAACTCACAGGGAGAGAGCCCTTTTGAATGTAAGCAGTTTTGGAAAGCCTTCAGTAATTCCTGAACCTTCACTAAAGAGTAGAAGTCACAGTGGAGAGAGGCCTTATGAATGTAAGAATGTGGGAAAGCCTATAGTTGTCCCTCACATCTCCCTTCTCAATTTAGAACTCACACTGGAGACCCTGTGCGTCAAGATTGGGATGTTTTCACCTTCCTGTCACAATTTAAAGTAGGAAATTCGTATAAATCTGCCCTTAAAGAATGAAGGTTTTCAGTGAGTAAGAAAATAATACCAACTGAAAGACTGGATGATTAAAACTACTTTGTGGCTTTGTGAGAAATGATTGTTTTACTGTAACTGTGGGACCATCCTTATCACTGTTTCTGCCTTTTTCAATCCAACCTTTATCTTTTTCATAAGTCTTTGAATATTACAAATAAAGGGACAGAGGGTACTTTTTATAGTTTTTTTTTCCCACGGTTTTAATCATGTTATTTAGCATGCAATTGAATACACTAATCATTGAAAATCCCGTGGGTTGGGTTAGGTGCATCTTAGTATTTTAGGAAATATCCTTCCTCTTCAGCACTTGAAAGAGGTCTTTTGCAACAGATTTACCCCATGCAATACGTCTTTTGATTTCTTGACTGCTGCTTCCATTTGTGTGGATCCTAGAAACTAGTAATAGGAAGTCTTTGACAACTTTACATATTTCTCTATCATGATTCTGCTTATTGATCCAGTTGTGAGGATTTTTATTTTCTTCATACTGAATTGTGATCCATACTGTAGATTGTAGTGTTTAATCTTCACCCTTTTGTTTACCAAGCAATGTTTCCTATTCTAATCATTTCTTCCAAAGAGTTTGTTTTACAGTGTGTATCTAATGTCACTCAAATAAATTTTAGTCTATTGTATACATAACGTGCCTTTGTAAAACATAAAAACGTTAAAGACTTTCAAGTATGCTATTGTACTTGGATGCGCTATACATAATAATTTGTTGATGAATGTTATAAGCTACTGCCTATTTGTTAACATAATCTATGTCCATTTTATTGGAATTCATCTCGATTCTCATCCACCAGGAAGACAGTGGCCTGACCACATGTGCTTTGTCCATGCAGACCTACAATGGGGAGTAGGGCAAGTATGGAAGAGAGGGAATTGCAGAGAACAGAATCTGCCCCATACAGTTGCACATGTGCAATCATGAGGGTGTTGGTCTGTGCCTGGATCCTGTTTATGAGACTGAGCTGCATGTAGACAGTGTGTCAGCAGTGTGCAAGGGTGTGGGGCTTACACTCCTGCAGGAGGCAGTCTTCCTGTGGGAGAAGTTTAATGGTAGTTGTTTTTTAATTACAGATTTTGGATAAATGGGACTTTGTTTTGTCAGTCACTGCCATACAGGGTAAACCATCTTACATCTTTCTCGTTGTTTTGCAAATATTCCAGATTTAATAACTACGAGCTCCTCTGAGTAGGTTTCTATAGTTTTGTACCTGTTCTCATTAAAATTTGTACACATTCAGAGAGAGCCAATGACTCCTCTTCCCCTTTTCTTGTTTGAGTTCTGTAATCAGACTTTTGACAAGAAACTCTGGTTCCTTTGTTTAGAGAATGATGTTTGTGCACAGAGATCTGGGAATTACCTGTGCTTTCTGTTTTTGGTAAGGAGCTCTGGTGGCCTAGTGGGTAAGGCATTTGACTGCTGACCAGAGTTTTGGCACTTCAGATGTGCCAGCTACTGTGCAGGAGGAAGATGGGGCAATCTAATTGAGTAGACTTAGAGCCGTGGAGACGCAAGGTGGGGTTGCTCCACGTTGGAGTCAACCTGATGGCAGTGAATACTGTTACTGGGGGCCCTGATGGCAGTATGTTAAAGTACCCAGCTGTTCATCGAGTGATCAGGAGTTGAAACCCAATGGACTCTCTGCCCTTTTGCAATTGACAGCGAGGGGCCGGATGGCTTTTCCAGTGAGGTACTGCCCTATGGGCTGCCACCTTATCTTGGAGCCTATTCCTGACCCTCACCCACCACTGCGTAACCTGCACTGCCGTCCTGCCCCATAGCCCTCCCCCGTGTGCGTGCTGCGTCCTTCCTGTGCTGTCTGTGTGGGTTCCACCTGGCCAGTTCCCGCAAATGTCTCCAGCTGTATCTTCCTGGGGATCCCAAGACGCAGACCTGGGCTGCTCTCCGGAGTTCCTCTCAGTGCTACTCATCTCTTCATGCTTTGTCCCCCTGGTCACTCCCTACAGGCTTTTGTCAGTGGGAGCCCTCTGTTTGGCTCTAGATGTGGGCTTTGGAAATCAGGCAGGAAAGTGGTGCTGCTTGAGGCCATTGGAAAATTCCCCCTTGACCTCAGCGGTGAATGCAGTTTGCACGGTCGGAGAAGTCCCGCTCCCTGTAGTCCCTTCTCCATCTCTCCCCGTTGTTGCTGCTCAGCCTGCTTTCCCAATCCTTCACTTGGTGTCCAGATGCCAAGCTCCCTGGTTTCCCCCATTTGTGCTTGGCCTTGTCGTAGCAGAGAATCGTGAGGCCACTGCTGTCTGTGCCACCATCTTGCCCCTTGACCTCCTGCCTTGTGGTTTGCACCCTTCAGAAAGACTCAAGAGGAAATGGAAGGGTAAGTGGAAGGAAGGCTCATTGTCATCAGAGTGTTTTCAATTTCCATCAACTACTGTCATTGGTTGGGTAAATGTGAGCTAAGTACATTCACACATTTAAATGAGAAGATACTTAGCTACACACACAGGGAATTCCTTCTTAATATCAAAGTCTCTATTGGAAATGTGATCCATTGTGGACAGTGGCATAGAGCAGGAGTTAGCAAACATGTTTGTAAAGGGACAGAATTAAACGTTTTAGGCTTGCAGGCCAGATACCTGGTTTGAAATTCGTAACTCTGCCATTGTAGCTCCAGTATGACTACAGACCATAGTCCGTGAATGGTTGTGGCCATGTTATGAGAACATGGTGCAGCTGTGAGGCACATGTGGCCGGTGCTTTGGTGTGTGTGTATCCCTGAGGCACAGAGTGCACTCAGATCCAGCGAGCAGGCAAACCACAGAGGACACTAAACTTGACAGAAGGATCCCATGTAACTTCCTTTCTGCTAATAGGACTGGCGTAATAGAAGGTCCAGGATGATTACCTCACTGGGTGTGTCCTATGTCCCTGGCCAGTGGTGATGTCACTGTCAGACCCTCTATCACCCTGACCTTCTCTCTACTCACCTACCCCATTTAAGAAAAAAAAAAAAACCACTCTTTTTCTCAACTCAGACTCATGGCATTCATTGAGTTTCTTCTCTTTATGGTGATGGAGAATTTTACAAGAGGCATTGCTAATGTTTGGATGACATGGTTAACTCAATAATTCTAAAGAACCCCACTGCCATCATGTTGATTCAGATTCATAGTGACCTTGTAGGACAGAGTAGAACTTCCCCATGGTTTTCCAAGGCTGTAATCTGTACAGAGGACAACCCAATCTGAACCTACTCACGTGGAGTCTCTTAAGGCTCACATTGCCCCTAGAGGACAGAGTGGAACTGCCGCGTTGGGTGTCAAAGGCTTTCAATTTCTACAGAACCAAAGCCCAAACACAATCCCACTGCCATTGTATGGAATCCTACTCTCAGTGCCCCTAGTGGACAACAGAGAAGTGCTTCACAGGTTTTTCAAGACTAACTCATTAATGAAGCAGCTTACCTCAGCTTTCTCCCTCGGATTGTCTTGTGGTTTAGGACTTTTGACATTTTGGTTAGCAGTCACATGCTTTAACCACTATGCTACCAGAGCTCCATGAGTGGAACTCTGTGTAGTATACAATATGGTTTTTGCATAACATACAAATCACAGAGTTTTGTTACAGAACATATTTTAGATGTTAAGCAACACATACCTGTCAATTCATACAGTTCAGGACATGCAGTGAACATTCTCTTATTTACGCTTGACCTCAGCCATCCTCCCCAGAGGAATCCTTTTCTTCATTTTCTTGTG